CTGGTCATTATGACAAATCAGTGGATCGAATCTACTTTGACCTCCTTTCTCACAAGACCTCCATCTCCAAGCAACGATTCTGCTGGCTTCTAGGGTTTGAACCTGATGAATCTAGGGTTAATCCCGACTCCATAACTGTGGGACAGTTATTCTCGATGTTCTACAACATGGGCTACACAGAAATACTCACGAATGTTACCAAGTTTAAAAAGTCGTGTCTTCCTCCTCCATGGAATGGCTTCTTCACCATTCTGTTCAAGGGGCTATCCGAGCGAAGTTCTGGTTCTGATGGGGCCAGTAAATTATTCATGACCATTCTCTATGGTCTATACAATGGCATAAACCTCGACTATGGCTCGGTTCTATGGCAACAACTCATTCAGAGCATTGCCTCCTCCTCTCGCCATACTGAAGTGTCCTATGCCAGATTTTGGACACTGATCACCAAGTGGGCAATGGATAAACTTCATGTTCCTACCGTTGTCGATTCCTTCCTCTCCTCCATCAGTGTCTTCCACACCACCAAGATCATCGTCACTGATCCGACCAAGTTCTCCTTCGTCGGCTCGATTCCGAAATCCATGTCCGCTGGTGTATCCAAGGAGAGTGTTATGATGAAGGCCTACAAGGAGTTTCGTCCTTCGGGTCCACAGGAACTTTCTGCAGAAATGGTTCAGTCCATCAATAAAACAGATAAACCAGCTGCTAGAGGGAAGAAACCCGAGAAAGGGAAGATTAAGAAAGCAGCAAAGGGAGAAATGGGTCCTTCTCCTAAGAAGCGAAAACCCTCAAAGACAGATCCTTCCCCCCAGTGAAGAAGAAGAAAACTCAGCCGAAGAGGAAACTTATTCTCTCTTCTTCATCAAGCGATTCAGAGGATAACCAATCTGACTCAGACGAGTTAGCTAGAGGCGATTCTCCTCCTCACTCGCCTGCACATGAGGTAAGAGTTTCATCAAAACCTCCTTCTCCTTCTCCTACCACCATACCCTCCATTCCCACCATAACCTCCTCCATTTCCATTCCCCCCATTACTAACCCTATTTTCATTCCCACCGTAACCTCCTCTATTTCTATTCCCCCATAACTACCTCTACTACCATTCCACCCACAACTACTCCTATACCACCACCAATTTTCACTACAGCCACCAAAACACCACCAGTGAGATTCAAACCAACGTATCTGATATGGGGGTTCGAACTTCACAACCCGAAACTACTTCAGTACCCGAACCCACTTCCCCTACCGAACCATCCGCTACACCCTTATCTCCCACTCACTTTGCTGAAACCGAAACCTTTCTGGGAGGGGAGGATATGACCTTTGACTCCATCTACTACAGCCCCTACCAAGTCCAAAGTGATGATGATGATGATGCTCCTGTTACCAAAAAGCACATCAAGGAACTCCATGAGAAGATTGATAATCTTGTGGCTTCTTCCTCTACCTCAAAATCTCACATTTCGGAGGCCTCCATTAAGGGGATGGTGGAAACTCTCACAAAAGCACATGAAGCCTCCATTAGCTCAGCTGCTTCTTCTATTGACAACTCTACAAAGGCTAGTGCTGCGGCGACCGAAAAAGTCGAAAAACTATTTCAAGACGCTCAGATTTGGATGGAGTCTTTGCAGGCAGCATCCGAAACCAATACCAAGAAGATTCGCACGGTTGTGGAGAAGCTAGTCCATTCACTAGAAATAGAAAAAGATCACTTTGCCAGCTTCCGTCAGACCCTCAAATAAGACAATCAGTCTTTTCAGTCTTCGGTTGCGGATCGTCTTCTCAACTTTCAAGCAACTCTTGCCGCCGAATCTACTGCAAAGGATGAGCTTGCTCGTAAATCTTCCGAGCTACATCTTGTTACTCATCAGCTCTCCCAAGCCGAGAAGGAGATCGATTCTCTTTGGTCTGAGAAAGTTGTGGTTAAGAGTTGTGTTTCGGATGTTCATGGGGCTCTATCCAACATCATTGAAGCCCATGATCCGATTCTTAACTACTCGGTGAGGCGCACTCTTGCAGAGAAGCTTGCTCCCGCCCTTGCCCTTGCTTAGCCGCATTGAAGGGATTCCTGAGCAGGTGGAACATCCGAAACAAGGGGGAGAAGGGAAGGCCACAGCTCAATCAAAACCCCCTCCGATTTCCAAAGCTTAATCACTCCCAGTTTCTTCACTAGTTCCTCCGAGAGCACCCAAACCAACAACTGTTCCTGCATCAGGTTTGAGTGCTCAAAGCAAAGACAAACAAATTATCGATGACAGTGATGAAAGTGAGGACCAAGAACCGATTGCTAGCATTCTGAAGAAACAGGCCAGGGAGAAGGAGCTTGATGAAAATGCTCGTATTGCTAGAGAGGCTGAAGCTAAAGAGAGGAAGATAAAGGAGGCTCATGATCTCCTTGAAAGCAGAAAAACTCTTTTTCCTCCTTGGACTCTTGAAGAGCTTGTTAAAGAAGCTATCGAGTCCCCCTGCACTCTTTGGCTTGAACCAATGATCTCCTTGGACCGGGTTAATTCGGTGGATTCCCAATTTGACATGCCCTTGACCAGAAAAGCTTTTATCTTCCATGCATTCGCCCACGTAGCTGAAGTCCCTCATCCTCACCCGAAAGTTGATAGGGAACTTGTAGACTTCTATCTGAGGACAACTCAACCTCAGTATCAGACGTGGAGCGCACAGAAGATCATCAACGTTTGGGTCCTCAAACCTGTTCGGGAGGGTAACTTCACCAATTTCAGATTCAAGGTCTTAAGGGGATCCAACAAAACCAAGCATTCCATCTCTCTAGCTGATCTTCCCAACTTAAATCCTCATGACTGGATAATCCTGCACAACATTCTTCTCGTTAATGAAGTGGAATATGGTCCAATCATAGATCATTTCAAGAGAATGTTGGTGTGCTATATTTTGGAGGTTGCCAAGCTGGATCAAGAAGTTGCAAATGTTCTTAGAAAGAAGGCTACTATCACTCCAGTCGGTTCTGCAAGTGATTTAAACAGAATGCAGATGGGAAAGATTGATCCAAAACGAAACTCAGTCATGTTCACCAGGGCAGAAGGTCAGAAATGCTTATTTGCTTTGGCTGACAAACATCTTTACACCACTTCCTGCTTGGATCATGTTCTGGGAATCATCAATCGGTGCAAACAGAACTCGGAGAGTGATAAGAAATACTTCAACGATATGATCAATTGGTATATTCACTTCTGAGAAACACTTCTTGCTATTATTCCTTGCCTATTCAAAACCGTGAAGAAAGCCGGTGCCGCAGGTTTAAGCAAGCCAAAGTGAGGTCTCGCCCCTATTGACGCAAAGGGGGAGATTGTTGGGTATATGGTGTTGCGTCTTGGGCTCGTCTCTTAGCCCTATTTTGTATCCGGTATGGGCCTGTCCATCCGTGATTTGTTAGGGTTTGTGTATTAATAGATGCTTGCATGCATCTTTTCAACTAGCTTGAATATTGTTTTTACGTATGATTTTGGAAGACATCTTTTGTAACCCTAAAATCCTCTACAGCGGAAGTTCTTAATCTAGCTCTGCTGAGGATTGAGTATTCTAATCATTCGACTCATTCAGATCCATACTTGTGTTTTATTTCATTGTTTTACGTTCATTATCTACCTGTTACAAAGATCTAATCGATCAAAGAGTTTATAAATCTCATCATTATCTTTTTTTATTATGTCACATTTTTATAATTTTATATGTATTTTTTTTTATATGTTCCTGCGTTTTACGCAGGTTATAACCTAGTTTTGGTATATACCTCAATAATATAAAAATCTTACACACACAAAAAAATCAATTAAGATTAGCCTGGGCCACGGCCCACCGACGACAACATTGATGTAGAACTGCACATTGGCGATCCAAGACCAATCTTGGGCCAGTCTCGAAAGAATCTTGATTTTTTGAGGTTGGTCTTGAAACGGTCTGTTTTTTTTCCGTACCGGTCCTTGTTGGTCTTTTTCATGTCCGTTTTTTTACGACCGATCTTGTTCAGTCTCGGAATCGTCCGGTCTTTTTTTGAACCGTTCTCGGAACGATCTGGTCTTTTTCGGATCTGGGATGGTCTAAAGCCAGTCTTTTTTCGGTCTGATCCTTTTAGGACCGGTCTTTCGGTCTCATTTTATACTTCTATCTTTATTCAGGTCCGGTCCGATACCGTTCTTTTTTTTGTACATGTCTATACTGATGTTATAATTTTTAGGGCCCAAAACTGATCAACATCCACCTGAGGGGTCCAATACAGCGTAGAAAGGCGGTGAAAAGGAAGGGAGCCAGTAAATGAGGCCGTTTCAGAAATCGATACCTGAGGACGAGGAGACGGGACGATTGCTTCACGTGATAACGATAATTTCTTCTTACCCTACTAATTTGATTGCTGTGTGATTTGTGATTCTAATTACTCGAGAACCATTGCTTGGTTTTCAGTTGTGTTTAGTTATTTTCTAGGGTTTGTCATAAAGCTATTTTGGTTTTTTCTGATATAAGTTTCAATGATTCATTGATTCTGAATATATTGATAGACATCTCTTTTAGATGTGTATTGCAGAAATTCTATTTAACATATGTTTGGTTAAGCTCAACATATTTATATGTTTCTTCAACTTTCTTGACTCGGCTCATTTTGTACCTTTCATTTATTTATTATTAAATTACGTAGGAAATTCTTTGCATGCATAATCATCCCTTTGGTGTTTTTTTGTGTTTGTATCAGTTTCAATCTCAGAATAACCAAACCAATAATAACATTTGATCGCATCCACAACTAACAACTTACATACGTTTATCCACATGTGTACATACATACCCTAAAAAGCTTAAACCAGTTACACAAGTTCTCACGAATTTAAAATTTTTGATGCAGCGAATTTGATACAAGAAGACATGGATCAACAACAAAGGTCAGGTATTTTGGCCAACGATATAAACAAAATTGTGAGGGGGGTTGAGTCGATGTCAAACAAGCTCGAACATCTGAGAAGTCGTGTAAATATATGGAGGAGGAGTTGCAAAAAGTTCAAAAAAATCTACCTGATGAGTTTCCTCTTATCTCAGATGAGGAGTCCAAAGAGATACCTTTTGACCAAAACATATGTTTACCTAACTACGAAAACTTAAATCTACCTTACTTCCCTGAGAATTTTAAAGATGTTAAAGTCTTTCGTAAGTGGAAAAAGAGTGTAGATTTGTGTTTTGAGTATCGTGAAATCCCATACGAAATACAAGGACAACTTGTAGCCGAGACATTCCCAAAGAATTTCCCATGGTGGGAACAAATCCAAAAGCTAAGCCAGTGAAGCGATAACAATGATAAGATTATGTGGAGAGAGATTAAGAAGATGTTTATCGTTCAATTTTTTTCTTCAGATTGTTTGGTTTCCAACAAGGATCAGTTTTCTCCTCCTCCTAAGAATATAGATTAACCATGTTATACTTTTGATTTGGTTGCAACTAGTTAGCATTCAAAACTACTCAACAATGTAAGGGGCGTTTGGTTCAAACTTTCTTTTTGACTGTTTTGGAATTTAGCAAATGAAAATATGAAATGGAATTGCATGTATTTGGAATTTAAGGAAATTAAAATCCTTTTGCCTGTTTGGTTGAAAATATTTGGAAACCTCTGGAACATCAGCAATGACTAAACTTGGAGGATATTTCCAACTTTATTCGGAGATACATGTTAAATGAAGGGGAGTGGACTCCTTTAAACCCTTTTTTTCATAAAACATACCAAGTATGATTAACTATTTTGAGAGAATAGCAGATATGACCAGCCCCTGTTTGGTCTTTAAATTCAAAAGGAAAAAAAAGGTAAGAAAAATCAAAAGAATTTAAACAACCATTTATGTGAATCTCTATTTTAAAACAAACTAACATAATTTTTTTAAAATTAAATATTATCCTACTTTCAAAGGGTAATCTGTAATTTAATAATAAAATCAATTTATACAATTACTTAGAAAGTACATTGCTATAACTGGTGATTTATATCTTGCAACTATGAAACATCATGTGAATTATTCTTGGTTTAAGGGCCTAATTTTATAGATCTTTTATTCACTATTAAATGGATGGATTTTAATATAGTTCGTACGGACATATTTTGTGGTTAGGAGAAGTTTAAAGTCCAACTTAAATTCTAAATCATCAATGGCATATTAATGAATAGTGGTATGTGTTAGCGAGAAAATACAAAAGTATACTTAATAGATAGCCAATCCCAAAAAAAAGACAAACAATTGGATGCTAGTTTTCAAAACTAATATAATGTAGATCTTTATCCCCTTCATACTTCATTTTCATTATAGTTGATGATTTGTTATATGGTTTACCCTCTGTTGATATTTCAGGATCCTGGAGTATTGACGGGTAAATCTATAGGAGCCTTCTTGGAAAGGAGAGAGAGTTTTACTTTCTTGACCACCAATTGGTCATTGTACATGGCGGAATCAAGGTCGGCAAGAGTCAAACGTGCGCCATAACGGTTAGATTTAGATCCTAAAGCATAATAGGAAATTCATGTATCATTTTAGGATCCTTCTTATGGAATGATTAGTTCGTCGAACAAGAAAGTTGCAAAAAATCAAACAAAATAAGAAGTGTGAATATCGGGATCCTTAATATAGAAATTTGAAAACTTACCCTTTTGACCCAAGATTGAGGTAAAAGATTTCCACCAAGAATTGAATCACGTTTCACGAAAAAAGTATCTTCCTTTCCAAGCGCCATCATTATGCTTTTACTTCAAGATAAGGGGTGATTTTTCAGTCTTGAATTTCAACAGGAAACGAGAGTTCCCGAAAGTCAAAAATTCATAAACGCATGCTAACTTGTTTAACCCAATGTTAAGGTCCATGGAACAATTCAGACGATCAATCTAGTAAAGGATCCTCCAAACCGTTAGCATGGCCTGGATATATGAGATTTTGGTAATTTCAAAGAATTCAGAGATAATCCCGGAAAAAGGATAAGAAAGGCCTAGAGTGAAAGGGTACTTAGGAAAGCAAACACAAATGGGAGAAATGAAATCTGGTTGAATCCTTGCATCAAAAGCTTTAAAAAAATACTAGCGGGAAAAGATCCAAGCAAATTCAAAGCTTTGATACTGTCATCAAAGGTAATAGTTTCCTCGTAGGAAATTTTTTTCTTATCCACGAAATCATCATTGGGTATAGCAATGATTTTTGTGCGAAAGCGAGCTCCTTTTTTTTTTTTTACCATATTTAAAAAAACGAAGAAGGAGAAAAAGAGACAAGGGTAGTACTTTCGATGATATTTAGTGAACGTCTGAGCTAAAAGAGTGAGACAAAATTGAAATACTAAATACCTTAATTATTCAAGAATCATGGAAAGATAGAAGGGTGATTTGACCTATTCTAGCGGCTAGAAATCTATTCGTTGAATTTTGAATTACCCTATAAGTTAGGACTTTTTACTTCATTTTTTACTTTAAAATTATACCTCTAAATGTCCGGAAACTAAAATTTATATTTTGCAGGTATAATTTGGGGCAATTGTTAGGCCATGATCCCAAAATCATATTTAGGTTCCTTAATATTGCTGTAACCTCAGGATCCCTAAAATATATTGCAGGATCCAGATTATTATTACTAATATTTCCCAACACCTATAACGGTTGTGTTTTTATCTCTCTTTTTTCTAACATGTGCAGAACTACTCAACGTGAGACTCATTCTCAATGGAGAGTCATCTCGACCAGGAAGAAGACCCGGAATACCAAGTCAAACATTGTCCACATGTTGGTTTTGGAGGATCCCGAAATTAGCAGACTTCTTGTTACTTGCATTAGACTATAAATAACACATGTACTTAGCACACCACACACACGATTAGCTGGATTACTACACTTGTACTCGTATTACCTTCATCATCTTTGTAATCTCATATTTAAATCAATAAAAAAACATCAAGGTGGTTGATCATTATCACCCCAAGGTTTTATGTTGTAGATCCTATAAAGGATCAACGACTTTCCCTGTAACTCACTTGTCTCACCTTGATCGTTATTCTATACTTATATTATACTAACACCACATACTTTCATACAACTTGGTCTAGTTGCATTTGATCAATTTTTTACCGAAACGTGTGTATATATATATATGATGACGTGTCGTTGGCACGGACGAAGAGTCGCGCTCAGATACGCCAAAGAACTCCCCAAGGCAAGTCGCGCCTAGCAGAACAAGCCTGACAGAACCTCACGCCCGCGGACACCCTTAAGAGCAGGATACCCGCAAAGATGGCCCAACCTCACCAAGGGCTCCTTCTACTCTGCGACAAAATATAACGGCTCCAAGCAACAAGGAAGATACTCGGAGCATTATCACTTGAACCAATTGTTGTCTCTGACAGATAAAGGAGCATGATTGCCCAGTTAGCGTCCCCAATCCTGTTGGGTCTGATGCCTTTGTCCTGTACTGACCAGCAAAAGGCCTCAGTATAATAGTCCTCCTCCGGTACCTTGGAAAGTATGCCACCCTTTCCCAATTCACTCTAGAATACACCCAAATCTATCTACTTACTTGACCATTAGAGAGTTTTCCCGGGAGCCTCCTCCCGAAGAACGATTGGCGGCTTCTTCCTATTGTGAACTTGCAGGCTCATCGAAACAATCAGAGGCACAAGGAGGAATCGTCCGGTGACCAGGTCGCATCATTTGGTGCCATCCATAGTGTGACAAACAAAAAAACAAAAGCACACTCCTCAACACTCGAAGATGGCATCTAGCGACACCGGCGGGACTCGTAGGACACCGACAAGCCCCATCAGGCCTATGATGTCGTTGGAACTAGTTATCACCTCAACTCTCACACCAGTTACCGGTTAAACATCACAACAAGGTAGCTTAACAATTACCACTGCTCCAACAAACGAATTATAGGGGCCGACCGCCAAAGGACCAACATCCTCCGCCGCCATAATGACACAAAGCGCCTCCATGCAAACACCACAACTGATGGTGATCTCAAGAAGCACAATATCAATAACGGTGGACAACGTCAGTGACATGTCGGTTATCTCACAAAAACACTGCTAAAACAAATGGTGATAGAACAAACGATGGCTTTCCAAACACCGCCACTAAACCAAATGGTGAGATAACAAACGATGGCTTTCCAAACACCTCTGTTTGTGACAAACATGCCTTTCACTACCACAATCCCACAACATCAGCCATTCATGTCAAACAACTTGCTCGTACGAAGCCCACCCCTCTTGTCAACCCAAACACTAACCTTCCCATTTCAACAGAAAACCTTTTACGGCCCAAACACCGGGCAACTCTTGGCATACAACAATATGCTAATGCAACCATACCTCACAGCCCAACAATATAACCTAGATGGTGTTTTCTCCATCCCAAACCAAGATTGCCTATCGCGAAGTGTAACATCTTTATTTGCCAAGGAGCTCCTGGACTACGAGATCCCAAATACAAAAAATTTACCACACCTCAAGACCTACAGTGGAACCACAAATCCATATAGTCACATCGATACTTACGATTGGACAATGACCTCGTTAAAGCAGGATGAGCGATTATGGTGTACGTATTTCCTGACAACCTTAGATGGCAACGTAAGAACATGGTTCAAGACATTATGGCCAGGGAGCATTTACAGTTTTGGCTAACTAAATTATATTTTCTTGACAAATTTCATGCAATTGCGTAAATACAAAGGAGATTCACACTCAATCGGTTGCAAACAGAAGGAAGGAGAGAAGGTGCAAGAATACTTCAACATGTTCACTAATGCCACATTAGACGTCTCGGGGAATGACGAAGGGTTAATAGTAGGTGCCTTCACGTGGGGCCTCCGCCCGGGACTGCTGTCCCAGAAGCTCATGGGGAAGAAACCTCAGATACGGGCTAAGCTAAAAAAGAAGGTAGAACGCTATCTGAGACAAGGGGAAGGAGAGGCAACGAAGCAAGAATACTTGAACGCCATGACCACCTCAGCCACAAAGCATCACCGCTCACTATATTACAACCAGTAAACACCGGGTGGTGACACACACTTCGAGAAAGGGAGGCACCGACACGGAAGTTTTAAGCAATTCTAAAGAGATGAAAGGAGAGGCAGTCGAAAAGACGTCTATGCAGTCTCTGATAAACAACCGGTGAAGGGAGAAAAGGGATGGTACCGTGAATACCACAAGAGCAAGACACACGAAGCCATCAACTGTTCAATATTAAAAAGGGAAATGGAGGAGAAAAAACTAAAGGGAAACCTCATAGAGGTAGCATGGAGTCTCTGTGCTAAGTTCAATGCCGAGAATGCCAAGGATACATCAAGGTAGAATGACCAAACTCACGAAATCCGGATGACCAGATCAAAGCGGGGAAGGCAGGAAGAACATGATGGGGTAGACAGCCCCACCAAATCCATGCAAGGCTTAACATTTTCAGCTAAAGATCCCCGACCGGCAGGCTGGCGAGGAGATGACCCGCTCATAATCCAAGCGTCCATCAGAGACATTACTATACACTGAGTATACATCGATACCAGCAGTTCAACAGATATTATATATAAGCCTTGTTTATGTCTCCTCCCAGTTAGTTTGAAGGAGAGCCTCAAACCTGGAACACGGTGGATGACAGGCTTCACAAGGCACAACCTGTGGCCCCTAGGCAGGATCCACCTGCCGTTCATGCTGACTAGTCATGATAAGAAAAAGAAGAAGACAACCCTCATAGATTTGTCGTAATCTAGCACCCAACAAAACATGACATCATCCTCGGACTGATAAACCTACTCTAATTCGGAGCAATCCCATCGGCATAGGTGGCAACCTTCCCCAATGACAAGACAAGAATTGATCAATCTCTTAAAGAAATACAAGCATGTGTTTTCCTAGAATCGTACAGACATGGTAGGAATAGACAGGGAGGTCATAGAGCACAAACTCATCATTAAATCGGGCGCCAAGGAAATCAAACAGAAAAAACAAGTTCACAGGGGAGACAGGAACAAGGCAATCAACATTAAGGTCGCCAAGCTAACCAAAGCAGGAATATTCCAGGAGGCAGTCTTCTCGACCTAGATCGCGAACCCTACAATGGTTAAAAAGCAACGTGGCGCATGTGTATCAATTATTCTGATCTAAACAAGGCCTGGCCTAGAGACTGCTACCCCTTACCAGGAATCGATTAAAAAATCAAATACATGTAGGGTTTTAGAATAAAATGCTTCCTAGATGCGTATAAGGGGTACCATCAGATCTTGATGAGAAAAGAAGACGAAGAGAAGATAGCCTTTTACACGGACCATGGGGATTTCTGCTACAACAAAATGTCGTTCGACCTAAAGAACACAGGTGTGACCTACCAACGCCCCGTCGACTCCACCTTCGCCAAGAAAATTGGAAGAAACATTGAAGTATATACGTTGATGACATGGTCATAAAAAGCCTAGATGATAGGAGATTACTGGAAGATGTGGAAGAAACATTCAAGACTTTAGAAAAGTTCAAGATGAAGTTAAATTCGGGTAAGTGTACCTACGGTTTCGAGGAAGGCCAATTCCTGACATACTATGTTACCACGGAAGGAATATAACCCAACCAAATCAAGGTGGACGAGCTGGTGGAAGTACCATCCCCACACACTATAAGGGACGCTCAAGGGATGAATGGTAAACTGAGCGCTCTAAGACGTTTCATTTCCAAGTCGGCAGAGAAATCCACGCCACTTTTGCATACTCTCAAGGGATGCATCGAAAAGAGCAACTTTCGGTGGACGCCGGCAACAACAACAACACTCCAGCGGATTAAGGAAGCCCTACACAAGTTACCCACACTAGCCAGCCCTATTCTACACGATACGCTACAGGTATACCTATCAGCCTCAAATGAATCCATCTCCTTGGTATTGGAAGTAGAAAGGGAAAGAAAGAAAGCGTGGGTCTACTTCGTTAGTCGATCCTTACAGGTCCCAGAGACCAACTACCCTATCCTTGAAAAACTAGTGCTCGCAATCATCTATGGAGTATGGTGCTTGTGGCACTACTTCCAAGAATATTAGATAGAAGTATTGACAAACTACCCAATCAAACAAATATTACTCAAACCAGAAATGTCTGGACGCCTGGAAAATGGGCAATCGAGCTGGAGGAACATGATATTGGCTACCACCCACATACTAGCATCAAAGGGAAAGCGTTGGCAAATTTTCTCCTTGAGATTCCAGGCGAAGTGAAAACAGCCATTAGAATAAAGAGTTACCAGGCCCAGGCCGGCCAAAGGATAACCATGGATGGACCCTGTACACTGATGGGGAATCTAGCAAAGAAGGATCGGGAGCGAGCCTGATCCTAACAAGCCTAGAGGGTGTACATATCACCTATGCCCTTCGCTTCAACTTCCATACCTCTAAAAAGGAGGCCGAGTACGAAGCATTTCTTTCCGACCTGTGAATGGAAAGACAGATGGGTGTATAGTAGGGATGAAATTTAGAATCGGAAAACCAGACCGGAACCGAAACCATTAGAACCGGAATTAATAGAACCGGTTCCAGTTTCGGGTTTAAAAATTGGCTTTATATGGGTTCCGGGTAATCCGGGGTTGGGTCCATCGGGTCCGGCTAAACCGGGTCCAAAAACCGGAATCGGTGTTAGGAACCGGAACTACTTTTAAGATCAGAACCAGTTTTTGTGAAACGTTAAAAAGATGCATATCTCATTCATTTCAACTCCGATTGACATGCGGGTTTTTCCAGCATGTAGTTTAGAGTTTGTACATGATTTTAGACTATAAATTTTTCCATTTTTAGTTTTATATTCATTGACTTACAGTCCCCCAAAGTCGAGATATCAAAGCTGGAAGTTTTTTTTTTTTTTTTTTTTTTTTGTATTCGGTGAAAGTTTTAAAACATGCATATCTAATTCGTTTGAAGTCGAATTGACATGTGATTTTTTTTCCAACTTATAGTTTATAGTTTGTACATGAGTTTAGAATATAATTTTATCATTTTTGGTTTAATATTCAATGATTTACAGTCCAACGAAGTCGGGATATCGCTGAAAATTTTCAACTTTTCAACTATTTCTTTTTGTACTTTGTATTCTATGAAAATGTTAACACATGCATATCCCATTCTTTTAAAGTCGGATTGACATGCAGTTTTTTCCAGAGTGTATTTTAGAGTTTGTACATGATTTTAAACTATAATTTTGTTAATTTTGGTTTCATACTCAATGAGTTACAGTCCCTCAAAGTCAGGATATCAATATGAAAAATTCCGGTTTTTTCGGGTTTTCCGGCTCTAAATCCACTTTATCCGGTTCCAACCTACCCACTTTTTTTTGTTTCCGGGTTTTCAGGTTCTAGACCCACTTTACCCAGTACCGTACCCGGAACCGATTCCTATATACTGGTCCGGTTTCTGGTTCTAAAAAACCCCGTTAACCGGTTTCGGGTCCATCTGGTTCGGGGTTTGGACCCACTTTCATCTCTAGCGCATACATGATAACAGTCATGATGAAGTCGAGATTAGCAACTAACCAGATTAATTGAGAGTTCGAAGCAAGAGACAAACGAATGGAGAAATACGTTAAGGCCATTCAAAGGCTTGTTGAGCCCCTCAAAGAGTTCACCATCAAGCAAATTCAATAGGGGAGAACAGAAGAGTAGACGCCCTTAGCAAGTTAGCATTGACATGCTTCGACCACCTATCCAAGAAGGTTTTGGTGGAGGTACTGAAGAAAAGGAGAATAGATGAGCGACATGTCCACACTTTGACACCATCACGACACACTTGGATGACACCAATCTTCAAGTACCTGCAACACGACATCCTACAAGATAGCCATGACGAAGCTAGAAGAGTAAGAATTAAAGCACCATTGTATACAATCATAGAAGGATTACTATACTAAAAAGGGTTCATGATGTCGTAGCTAAGATTCATAGATGAAGCTAGGGGAAAAGAAGCACTTCGAGAGGCACACGCAGGCCCATCGGCCGTAAATGAAGGGGAAAGGTCCAAGGGCCCTCACAGGGAAGATACTTCAGATGGGCATCTACTAGCCAACCATACACCAAAACGCGTTGGAAGTAATGCGAAGATGTGTGAAATGCCAAATTTACTCTCCGGTCAAGGGGTTACCCCAACACCCTTGACGATCATTTCTAGTCCATGACCTTTCTACAAGTGGGGAATCGACATCGTCGGACCATTTCCGAATGTCCCTGGAAAAGTTAAATTTCTAGTAGTCGCGGTTGACTACTTCACTAAGTGGATAGAGGCCGAACCATTAGCATACATATCTGGAAGAAAGATGATAAAATTCCTTTGGACGAACATAATGACAAGGT